GGAAGTGCTCCTGGCATTTAGCACATGGGATGGGGTTTGGGAGGTAGGCTGGCATGGATACTAAATATCCTGTCCTGCATTCAGCAGTCCGATACAAGAAATAATTGTTTGCTCAATATGATATCACTTTGGTTGAGAAATGCTGACTCAGTGCAGTTAGAGAAAAAATTTGAGGTATGAGGATTAGAAATAAGCAAAACTATATTTGCAGACAATTTATTCATTTAGAAAATCAAATGAAATTACAAATTATCAGAACTAAGAACCTGAGTTCAAGATAGGTGATTGTGGAATTGACATGCAAAGATCAGTAGCTTTCCTATATGAGCAATATATGATTAGAAATATTTGAAAATATCATATTCCTTTTTTTTAAAGATTTTATTTATTCATTTGTCAGAGAGAGAGAGTACAAGCAGGGGGAACGGCAGGCAGAGGGAGAAGCAGGCTCCCTGCTGAGCAAGGAGCCCAATGCAGGACCTGATCCCGGGACCCTGGAATCATGACCTGAGTCGAAGGCAGACATTTAAATGACTGAGCCACCCAGGTGTCCCTGAAAATACCATATTCTTAAAGCAACAAATAACAACCTAAGAAAGTCACTTAACAAAAACATGTGCACAGAATTATGGAGAAAAATATAAAGTGTTCCTTAAGCATGTGAACAAAGATTTGATAAAAAGAGAAGCATATGGGAGGCTCAGTCGGTTAAGTGTCTGCCTTCGGCTTGGGTCATGGTCTCAGGTTCCTGGGATCAAACCCTACATTGGGCTTCTTGCTCAGCGGGGAGTCTGCTTTTCTCTCTCTCTCGCTTCTGCCCCTCCTCCCTGCTCGTTCTCTCTGTCTCTCTCAAATAAATAAAATCTTAAAAAAAGAGAGAAGCATACCATGTTTATAAATGGGAAGACTCCTGCTTGAATAGATATTATTTCTCCCCTAAACATTTTATACCTTCAAGCAATTCTAATCCAAATCCCTATTCCCAGTGTAACCGTGTCTTTGTAAATCAGTATCTTTCCTCTTCTCTTCCCAGAAATCACACAAAAGCAACAAGCACAAAACAACTCCCACAAATTACACTTTCAGTGAAACTAAAAAAAAAAAAAAAAAAAAAAATCTGTGAACTACTACTAAGTATTTGTTGGGACTACAAAAAGCAACTGAGATTAGGCAGAAACAATGTGGGAGGAAGTAAGGAAGCATGGGCTATGGGAGAGCATCAGGGGAATCTCAGAAGGCTTGGGCAAAATATACTTCTGGGAGGCAAGTTTGGCAATATCCAGAAAAATTTAAAGTGATTATATTTTATGATCTAGCTGCTAGACTTTAGATCCTTCTAAGGATGCTAGAGAAATTCGCATATGGCAAAATGAGACCAGTACAAGGATGTTTGTTGCAGCATTACTATGTGTAATCAAAAAATTGAAGCAATCTAAAACATCAATTTTTAGAAGATAGCTTAAATTGTGGTAGAGTCCTACAGTGGAAGAATGAAATTAGATCTTTGTGTATCAGTGTGACTAGTATCCTCAAAACAAAATTGAGTAAAAAAGCAAGTTGCAGAATGATACTTATAGTAAAATCTCATGTATGTAAAAATCAAAGACAATGTTATATTTTTACTTATGTACAGCTAATTTTTCCCAGCCTTATTGAGATATAACAGACATGTAAGTTTAAGGCATACCATGTGATGACTTTATATACATATATTTTGCAAAATGATTACCACAATAATATCAGTTAACACACCCATCACCTCACATAGTACCATTTATTTTGGTATGTGTGGTGAGAACATTTAAGATCTACTCTCTTGTCAACTTTCAAGTACACAATACAGTATTGCTAACTATAGTCATTATGCTGTATATTAGATATCCAGAATTTATTCATCATATAACTGAAAATTTGTACCCTTTGACCACTTTCACCCATTTCTCCCACCCCTTGCCCCTGGCAACCATCAGTCTACTCTCTGTTTCTACGAATTCAGCTTTTTTAGATTCCAGACATACGTGAAATCATACAATATTTGTCTTTTTATGTCTGACTTATTTTACTTAGCATAATGCCATCAAGTTTCATTCATGTTTTCGCAAATGGCAGGATTTCCTTTTTGTATGGCTGAATTTTATATTGCATGTAAAATGAAATTTATCACATACTAATTATATTCAATATATGTCAATTATATTTAATATGTTATATAGGAATTATATACATTTATATCATTTTTTAATACATTCATGTGTTGATGAACACTTAAGTTGTTTCCATGTCTTAGCTACTGTAAATAATGCTGCAGTGAACATGGGGGGTACAGATATCTCTTTGAGATAGTAATTTCATTTCCTTCAGATATATTCCCAGAAGTGGAATTGCTGAATCATATGATACCTCTATTTTTATTTTTATTATTTTTTTTTAACAAAATTCACATTTTATTTAGGTTGAAATAAACTATACAAAATTGATTTTCTTCACCAAAAATAACAGCAATATTTTCTGTATTATTCCTAGATAAACCACAAAACACTTATTTTTGTAGGTTTTCCAGGTTTTGTTTATAAATCAAGACGAGGCAATAGATATAGTCATGGAAAAAGACAGAGGAAAACAGACAAATCAGTTGTCAGTATCCATGGCCTCTGATCCTGTCTTGACCATGAACAGAGGTGTTCAACATAAACCTGCTAAAAAGCTTATGAAGACGTAGGTGTTCTACATACACTTGCTAAAGAGCTGATACCTCTATTTTTAATTTTTTGAGGAACCTCCATACTATTTTGCATAGTGGCTGTAGCAATTACATTCCTGCCAACAGTGTACTAGAGTTCCCTTTTCTCTATATCTTTGTCAGCATTTGTTATCTCTTGTCTTTTTGAAAACAAGTATCCTAACAGGTGTGAAGTAATATCTCATTGTGTTTTTCTTTTGTAGTTCTCTGATAATTAGTGATGTTGGGTACCTTCTATGTACCTGCTGGCCATTTGTATATCTTCTTTGGGAAAATGTCTATTCAGGTCCTTTGTCCATTTTTTAATTGCATTATTTTGGTTTTTGCTATTGATTTGTAGGAGTTCCTAATATATTTAGGATATTAACCCCTTATCAGATATATGGTTTGAAAATATTTTTTTCCATTCCTAGGTTGCCATTTCATTTTGTTGCTCATTTCTTTTGCTGTGCAGAAGCTTTTTAGTTTGATGTCCCATTTGATTTATTTTTGCTTTGTTGTTTGTGCTTTTGGTGCCATATACAAAAAATCATTGCCAAGACCAGTATCAAGAAGATTTTCCCCTGTGTTTTCTTCTAGGAGTTTTACATTTAAGTATTTAATCCATTTGAAGTTAATTTTTATGATTGGTGTAAGTTAGGGATTCAGTTTCACTCTTCTACATGCAAATATCCAATTTTTCCAGCCCCACTTATTGAAGAAAGTATCTTTCCCCCATTGAGTATTCTTGGCTCCCTTGTCAAATATTAGTTGACTATATCTGGGTTTATTTCTGGGCTCTTGATTCTGTTTCATTGGTCTATCTGTTTGGTTTTTTGCCAATACTATTTTGTTTTGATGACTGTAGCTTTGTAATATAGTTTGAAGCCAGGAAGTGTGATGCCTTCAGCTTTGTTCTTCTTTCTCAAATTGCTTTGGCTCTTCGGGTTTTTTTTTGTTTTTTGTTTTTTTTTATGGTGCCATATGAATTTTACAATTGTTTTTTCTATTTCTGTAAAAAATGTCATTGGGATCTTACTAGAGATTGTATTGAATCTGTGGATGACCTTGTGTAGTATGTATATTTTAACAAATTAATTCTTCGAATCCATGAACATGGAATATTTTTCCATTTAATTTTGTCATCTTCAGTTTCTTTCATCAATATTTTATGGTTTTTAGTGTATAGATCTTTTACCTCCTTGGTTAAATTTCTTCTTCTTCTTATTATTATTTTAAGGTTTCATTTATTTATTTGAGAGAGAGAGAGAGAGAGAGAGAGAGAGCGCATGAGCCGGGTGGGGAGGGGTAGGAGGAGAGGGAGAAGCAGACTCTCCACTGAGTAAGGAGCCCAAGGGAGGGGCTCGATGCCAGAACCCTGGGATCATGACCTGAGCCGAAGGCAGATGCTTAACTGACTGAGCCACCCAGGTGCCCCCCTATTTTATTATTTTTGATTCTATTATAAATGGGATTATTTTCTTTGTTTTTTAGGTAGTTCATTGTTAATATATAAAAACACACTGATTCTTGTATGTTGATTTTATATCCTGCAACTTTATTGAATTCATTTGTTAGTTCTAACCATTTTTGATAGTCTTTATAGTTTTAAAATCATGTTATCTGCAAACAGAAACCATTTTACCTCTTCCTTTTCAATTTGGTTGACTTTTATTTCTTCTTTGCCTGATTGCTCTGGGTAGGACTTCTAGTACTATGTTGAATAGGAGTGATCAGAGTAGGCTCTTGTTTTGTTCCTGATCTTAGAGGAAAAGCTTTCAACCTCACTGTTGAGTATGATGTTAGCTGTGGGCTTTTCTATATAGTTTATTTTTGTTTCATTTCTCTAACAGAGAGGGAGTATAGAGTAGTAATAAGACCACAAGGGTCAGATTGCAATGTTCAAATCCTGATATCTACCAGTTACCAGCTGTGACCTTCTGTAAGTTATTTTGATATTTCCTTGCATTTCAAAATATTGATTTGCCTAATATAGGACATTCCAAGGTATGATTATTCAGTAGTCACGTGATATTCTTCAAATACTGTCTAGCATGTTATGTGCAACTAAAATGTCTTCTGGCTGAATAACTAACAAGAGGCAGTACAGGGCACAGATAACAAGCCGTGAGGCACATCAGGAGGATGTTTGCTAATACCATTTCGTCTTGTCATAACCCTTGAAGTTCAAGAGGACAGGGACTGAAAGGGAATAAATTAAATGCCGAAAGGTACATGAGTTTGTCCATATGTTTCTAAAGTGCTTTGCTTCATCTTCCAGGTCGAGGGCTCCCGGCAGGACAAGCTGAGGTTGAGATGATAGAACGTGCCCGGGAGAAGCGTGCTTGGGAAGCCACTCTCCCCTGTCTGGGGGACACCTCGCAGTTTGAGAAGAGGAGGAGGATGATGAATGCGATGGAGAGGAAGGAGTGGGCCTTCAGAGAGCAGGAGATTGAAAGGTAAGTTCTAGATTACCCAGACAGCTGCACCTGTGCTGGTGGAGTAATGTAAATACTTTTTATCTGTAAAGCATTTTCCCAAATGTATGGGTTTAAAAGCAGCCTTCTACCTATAGAGATAGAAAGTTGGGTTTCTGGTTCTTTTGGGAATAATAGCTCTATAATTTTCTCTCTAACGATATAAAAATTTATAGTGCCCTCTTTGTGTGTAAAGTTAAGCATGGAACCCAGATGTGAAGAATTCCTCAAAACATCTGTGATTCTTCTCTTCCCTTTTCTCTTTAAAGAAATTCTAGACTATCACAGAATCCCACTGAAATGCCTTTTTTTTAAAGATTTTTAAAATTTATTTGACAGAGAGAGTGAGCACAAGTAGAGGGAGCTGCAGAGGGAGAGGGAGAAGCAGGCTCCCCACTGAGCAGGGAGCCCGATGCGGGGCTCGATCCCAGGACCCTGGGACCATGACCTGAGCTGAAGGCAGACGCTTAACTGATTGAGCCACCCAGGCGCCCCTGAAGTGTCTTTCTTTTTAAAAAATTTTTAAACTATAGTTCATTAACATACACTGCAATATTGGTTTCAGGATTGGAATTCAGGGGTTCATCACTTACATAGAACACCCACTGCTAATGACAAGTGTCCTCCTTAATCCCCATCACCCATCTAGCCCATCCCCTGACCACCTCCCTGCATCAACCCTCGGTTTGTTCTCCATTGGTAAGAGTCTCTTATGGTTTGCTTCCCTCTCTCCTTTTTCTTTCCCTTTCCATATGTTCATCTGTTTTGTTTCTTAAATTCTACATGTGAGTGAAATAATATGGTATTTGCCTTTCTCTGACTGACTTATTTTGCTCAACATAATATACTCTAGCTCCATCCACTTTGTTACAAATGGCAACATTTCATTATTTTTTCATGGCTGAGTAATATTCTCGTGTGTGTGTGTGTGTGTGTGTGTGTGTGTGCGCGCGCGCGCGCGCGCACGCGCCATATCTTCTTTATCCATTCATCAGTCTTTCAAACTGACCCCTTCTGTTCATTCCCAGTGCCACTCTGCCTGGGCCTAGGCCCGCTGCATATCCATCAGCCTCCTAGCTAATCCTCTTATTCCTCCTGGTGTTGGATTCACCGTCAGGACACCTTGGGTTCTAGCTACAGCTAATGGGGCATTTTCTATTTAAAAGACAAATTGTGGAATTCCTAAATTAAGAGATGAGCTCACAGTGCATAAATAACAATATGCTGAGGTACTTCTGGTTTTCAAGCATTTAACTAATGTATTTTCAGTAATGAGGCTGTCCTTGGAATGTGTGGAAAGGATGAAAACCTCAAAATTATAACTCCCTAGCAATAAAGAAAGGAAAGGAAAGGGGCACCTGCGTGGCTCAGTTGTTGGGCATGTGCCTTCGGCTCAGGTCATGATCCCAGAGTCCTGGGATCGAGCCCCGCATCGGGCTCCCTGCTCAGGGAGCCTGCTTCTCCCTCTACCTGCCACTCCCCCTGCTTGTGTTCCCTCTCTCGCTGTGTCTCTCTCTGTCAAATAAATAAATAAAATCTTTAAAAAAAAAAAAAGGAAGGGAACTTGATGAGGTTGTCCTTTGTCCTAGGCTGAGCTGAGGCACTTCACTGCTCATAGCAATGCCACCACAGCCCCTGACAGTGTGCTTACACAAAAGAAAGAACCAAGACAGAGACTCAGCGTGGTTCTGAATTCAAAATATGTTTATCTTTTTACAGCACCTTCTATTAACCTTGAATCCAGACTGTGTGATGTTTTGGTAAAAGCTTGCAATTAAAGAATGCAAAGTAGATATCGGGTGCCCAATTCCGTCTGTAGAAAATTAAATTTATTGCTGCAATTTGGAAAGATATATTCTTATCAGAAGGGCATTAAAAACATTTAAAATGTTTCTGGCTAGTTCTGTTTGGGGTGGGTGGAGATTTGGGAAAATTATTGCAAGAAGGTTGCCTCTGAGCTGGTTGTTGAAGGGTGAGTAAGAAGCCATCAGGTAGATAATATTAGTGATGATGATGATGATATTCACAGAGCGTGTTAAATTGCAGAGTGCTTACTATGTGCTGGAGCCATGTTCTAAGCCACTAGTTCTCAAATTGTGGTCCACAAACCAGCAGCATCAGCATTACCTTGGAATTTGTTAGAAATCCAGATTTTCAGGCACCATCCCAGACCTACTGAGTCGGGTGGTCAACTCCAGATTATCTGATGCATGCTCAACTGTTGTACCATGTTGTATACATTAACTCATCTAATGCTCATGACAACCTTATGGGATAGATACGATTATGTCCATTTTATGACTGAAGGAATTGAGGTAAGTGATGAATTTGAGAATGAACCTAGGATTTCTAAGTCCAGAGAGAAGGGTGACTATTGGTTTGTGGCTTATTTTTAAAAAAAGACCTGTTTCTCCATATTCACTTTTCACTACTTCCGCACCCTCCCCAGTATGTTTGCTTTGAGAAGCTCCACCAGTATGACATGTTAGTTCTGTCTCTAGTCCTTTGAGTTGAACCTTCCTCTGCTGAGGCCTCACTTTTCCCTTGTCTATGTGGCAAATCTCAATCCTTGTTTATCCTCAAGACTACAGAGTTAATGGCCTCCTGTAAAGAAGCCTTCCCCACCTTCCTGGATCCACTGGGAATAGTGCTAGACATAGATGCTCTGTCATTTCTTCTCCCACAGTCTTCATTCTTCTGGCCTGGTATTTATCTCCTTGTCTTATAAAATGCTAGTGGATATGCCTGCTCCAATAGAACAGTGCTTCTTGAGAGAAGGTGTTTTATCTTATTCATCATTGTTTGTTTCCTACCTGGCATTTGGTGAGCACTTAATAAATATTTGACAAATAAGTAGCTGAATAAATTACTCTATGAATTTTTAAGTAAGATTAAAATGTTCAATTGTCTATTTTAGGAAGGAAAATCTTGACAGCTGTGTGGAGCAAGATCGGAAGGAGAGACTAGATTAGCAACTAGAGTCCAAGTTAGGAGAGGGATGATAAAAACATGAGCTAGGGAATGGATGCAAGAAGTGTTTTAGAGGAGGAATTGTTAGGGGAGGGAAGAAGATGTAAGAAAGGGTAGATTTCTGGGGGAACAAAATGAGTGGGGTTTTTTCTTGAAGTTGTCAAGGGATAGCTAGAATTTCAGGTAGACAGGAATTCTGGTTCAGAAATACCTGGGCCGGAGGTACAGATTTTGAAGTCATGTGTACATCGGTGTATACACATGAGCAAGGTAGCTAGCTCTAGGAGAACAAGCTAAAGGTAAGCGGAAGGGAAACGAAGATTGACTGGATGTCTGTATGCACCAGACATTGGCATTTTCACATTTATTCCTTAAAATATCATGCAGTCTCATTTTCTCTTCACTCATATTACTTAACTCCCCAGCCAATACCTGTGGGCCTGGAACCATGCACAAACATCTTGTTCATTTAGGCCCATCTGCCTGGAGAGCCCTTTTATTTACCTGGCATACTCTTCTTTGCCTTTCAGAACTATGCCCATACATATTCCTTTTTTTTTTTTTTTTAATTTTATTTATTTATTTGACAGAGAGAAACACAGTGAGAGAGGGAACACGAGCAGGGGGAGTGGGAGAGGGAGAAGCAGGCTTCCCGCTGAGCAGGGAGCCCGATGCGGGGCTCAATCCCAGGACTCTGGGATCATGACCCGAGCCGAAGGCAGACGCTTAACGACTGAGCCACCCAGGCGCTCCATACATATTCCTTTTATAGAGAGACTCACTATTGGGTTGCCTCCCCCAAACACCCAATCCACTTGTCATACTTTTGCCAGAGCAGTCTTTTTAAGTACATGAATATGATACCAGCCCCAAAAGAGGATCCTGTTTATGGCAGGTGTTTCCCTTCTCTCTAGTAGAACACTCTAGGATACCAAATAGGTCTTTATGTTTGGTGATTTACTTAAAGACTGCAGGAGATTCGCCTGGAAATTCTAAAAAAGCTGCTGAGAAAGCGCGATGAGAATCAAAACGAAGTGAACATGAAGCACCTGAATGCCCGATGGTGTCAATTACAGGAAGCAAAGGAGGCAAAATTGTCACGGATTCAGCACACACATGTATCAGGTAATGGTGTAATATGAACAGTGAAGAGAATGGGAGGGTTGGCTTTGCTTTGAATCTTTGATCAAACCTGATTTAGATATAATTCTCTTGAGTAAAGGAGATGAATTATTTCTCAAAAGTAGAAGAGTGGAAGAAAATTCCTCACTAAGAAAGCCAAGTAATGATGTTCTAACAGGTAGTCAAGTTATTGACATTATGGGGTGAGTGTGTGTTTGTGTGTGGGGCGGGGTAAGTGTAAGGGGTTGGGCTTCCCATATTCATAGGTTGAAGTCCTGGATGGAGAGCCCTATTTCTCAACCTTTTTTTTTTTTTTGTTATTGCTCTTAAATGAGACATTTAGACATCTTTTCTCCTGCTCACCCCCTTCCATGAAATTTTAATACCATGGATATACTATTTATCTGTTTATGTACTCTATCTGTACACAGAAAAAGATCAGTCAGTGTATGATTAAGAATGACTATATAAAAATTTTGAATTAAAATTAAAAAAGGGGCATCTGCATGGCTCAGTTGGTTAAGTGTCTGACTCTTGATTTCAGCTCAGGTCATGATCTCAGGGTTGGGAGATCAAGCCCCACATTGGGCTCCTCAGTGGGTATGGAGCCTACTTAGGCTTCTCTCTCACCCTCTCCCTCTGCCCCTCACCGCCCCTCACCTCTATCTCTCTCTCAAAAAAATAATAAAAATTAAATTAAAAAATTTTAACTTATTAGTATTTAACTTTATAGTTTTATTTGCTTAGTAACTTTTAATTAATTTACTTATAAAATTGTAATGTATCAATTATATGTGCAAATTAGCAATTTCTATGCATGATAATCACAGTATTTTAAAAAATCAAATTTGTTATTTTTCTAGCAAAAGTAGAACAATTATAAAACTTCCTTAAAATTATTCTCAGTGAACTTAACTTTTAATGTTTTCTTGATGTGAGAAAATAACTTTTAACTAGATGCTAGGTATGCCTAGATCTGTAGATACTGTCAACAATTTCTTTTCAATACTTCACAGTACTAACGATGGGTTGACTAGCTTGCTTATTTTATTATTATTACATTTTTTTATTAATTCCTCCTGTCCCTCTCTCCTGCCCTCTGGGATCGGTCGCCTTCCAAATAAACTACCTGACACATGCCTTTGTCTCAGGCTCTGCCTTTGAGGGAACTAGGCTAAGACAAACCTCAAATGTCACTTCCTCAGGGAGGCCTTCAAGACCCCCCCCCCATAAGTCGGATGCCTGTTATCTGCTCTGACTTATATGCCCCTGAACTTTTTGTGTGTGTGAGAAATTAACTTTTAACTAGCTGTGAGATATGCAGTTAGATATTGTCAACATTTTTTCATTTCCATACTTGATATAACTAATGGTGAGCTGACTAACTTTTGTAGCTAAATAACAAACTGAGGGTTGCTGGAGGGGAGGGGGTTAAAGGAGGGCACTTGAGGTAATATGCAACTGATGAATCACTAAATTTTACCTCTGAAACTAATAAAAAAAGAGATAAATAACAAAATGTAAACTATTTTTATTTAATTCCAAAACCCCAAGTCACACACAAAAGCATGGAGAATCAAACATAAATGCCCACAAGGCAGCAGTGGTGCCTGCAGCCGCCTCTTACAATAAGACTTTGCCATCCCACAGTATGATTTTGCACCCATTGGGAGTGCACAGTGTGGAGCCTTCGAACACGGTGGCTCTGTGATAGGACTGAAAGAAAAGGAGCAGGCGGGGAGGTAGGAAGCATGACTCCTTAGATGAGTCAACTCCAGTGTGCACAGCTGAGCCTTTTCCCTCTGACGGCCGAACAGTTCTGAAAGTTCTAAGTTGGGATATATTATGTTTTATTCCGTTGTTAGCCAAGATGGAAAGAGATTATTGAAGAACCTGTAGTCTTCCCTCCCTTGCAATTATTTTCCTAGGAGAAAATAATTCTCCAAATCTCTACTGGCCATTTTGGTTACTTTGAGTTTCTTTCATTAGTTTGACAAGCTCTTACTGAATACCCCTTCTTGCCTCAGAGCTTGGAATGCACTTATAAAAGATTTTTGATGAGTACCAACTGAGGATGCTAATTGACTCAGCTTCTGTCACTCCCACTTGTCTCATGATGCTCTGGGCCACACAGATGACAGACCTGGCTGCAGTGAGTGGTCATCATGAAATTCATTCAGTTCAGTAGCTTCCCTGTGAATAAAAGTAGAACTGGTTTATTATTATGCATTTATTCAGAACAATACTTTGAAGATAGTCACAGAGGTATGTTTTATTCTAGCAATCAGAAAACTTGTGGGAAAGGGAAAGAATATAGAAGGGAAGTTGGAGAGAAGGAATATCATCAGGGATTATTGTGATTATGCATCACAGGTCTATGGACCTCTGTCTCGTCTTGGTCGTTTCCCTGACAACAATTCAGAGGACTTTGTGGTAAAAAACCACTATCTCAACACCTATGAAGGTAAGCAATTTACATAATTACAAGTCCAGTATAAGAGGAGTATTGAAGTACTAGAAGGGAAGTCTTAGATTAAAGGCTAAATAGCAAATAATATTTTCAAGAGAAATAGCAATGAACACATTTAATGTTATTAATATGAGTTCATACAAATCAATAAAAACTCCTAAGACCCAAGTAAATAAATGGATATACTGGGGCACCTGGGTGGCTCCATTGGTTAAGCTGCTGCCTCCGGGCCCAGGTCATGATCCCAGGGTCCTGGGATCAAGCCCCACATCGGGCTCCTTGCTCAGCAAGGAGCCTGCTTCTCCCTCTCCTCCCCACTCATGCTTTCTCTCGCTGTTTCTGTCTCTCATTCTTTCTCAAATAAATAAATAAAATCTTAAAAAAATAAGTAAATGGATATACTGTATAACAATATAGCAGTGTTTAGCTACTAAATATTTAAACATGTTGTGTCACTAATAATTCCTCATTTCACAAAAATGAAACTGAATAAACTTTTATACCAGGTTTACAAAGTAAGCAAGGAATATATCATGAAATCAGTCTTTAAGAAATGCTAGAAAACTAGTGGGCAAGAAAATGGATAACTAGGGGATACATTTATGGATTCATGGATTCATGGCCAAGATGATGAATTGATGGTGACAATGTTGAACCTGTAGCTCTGGCTGATCATCTCCAGAGCACGGTATGATAAATTGGCGTATATCAATTATAGAATGGTGGTCCCATGTGTCATATGATCACTCATTTTCTGTTGGCTATTATCATAGAACTTATTACTTTTGTGTAGGGAAATATTTAATTAGAATGCATTTCTTGGGGCACCTGGGTAGCTCAGTCAGTTAAGTGTCTGCCTTCGGCTCAGGTCATGATCCCAGGGTTCTGGGATCAAGCCCTGCATTGGACTCCCTGCTCCGTAGGGAGTCTGCTTCTCCCTCTGCCCCTTCCCCTGCTTGTGTGCTCTCTTTCTCTCTCTCTCTCTCAGATAAGTAAATAAAATCTTTAAAAAAAAAAGAATGCATTTCTCATTTTATGGTCTAAATTACTGAGAATATGAGTTAATTATGCAAAAATTTGCTTTATACTTTGGGGCCACATCAATTATGTGAACTATATCTTATCAATAATTCTAAATGAAACCACTTGGCAAATAGCTACTAAAATTAACAATATGCCTTCAAAGCGCTAAATTTAATCACTGAATACTAAAATCATGTACTTCCTTCCTGTAGGATTAGTTGAACTTGAGTCATGTCTCCCAGATTTTGTGACACAACCCCGAATCAGACCTCCAAAGCCAAAAGTCGCTACCACGAAAGCTGGTTTTCTCAAGAGGGCAGCAAGGATGGACCATGAGTTGGCAGAGGTTCATAAGGTATGATGCTTATTCGTAGACAAGATGCTGTTAGTGGGACTTTCTCGCAGTGAAATACTACATCTCCAAAACTGCAATGTCCAGTAGTTCTCAACACATAACTCTACATCTTTTCTCCTCTCCAGATTTTTATCTTCTGGAAGTTGCCAGTGCTATGTTGAACCAATGTTTTTTCCCCTCATTTCAAACCATAGGAAAATCTGTTGGAGGCTCTTCTCCCCATTTGCAGAAGACATGTTACTTCCTAAAAGTGGTTCTGACTTTGGATCTACATAATAAAATCTGACACTACATTGAGGTGTAGCAAGTTTCTAGTGTTGGGAATTACTGCTGGTTTTAATAGTATAATAGGCCTCATTTTTTCCCTTTTAGATTTATTACCAGAGCATCAGGAAGAAAGGGAGTCACGTTCAAGTCCTCTCTAATCTGGTTTAAAGCTCAATTAAATGAGAAAGTGCAGTGGTTATCCCCATGAAACAAATACACAGCGTCCACCAGCTGTGCTTGCTTCCCTTTTGTTAATTGGACTATAGGTATACAGACTCTAGAATTCATGATTTATGATCACGCTGCTCAGTCTTTAGCATGCATCAGAATCACCTAGAGGACTTGTTAAAACACATGTTGCTGGGCCCAACACTCAAAGTCTCTGATTCAGTAGGTCTGGGGTGGGGCTGGAGTATTTACAATGTGTTACAAGTTTCTAGGTAATGCTGATCTGCAGGAACTACCCCTTGAGACTCACTGGTTATGACATAATCTCATCACTGGTCCATGAATTTGTTTTTCAGTTGGTTTTAGTAATAGAATAAGAATCCACGGGAGCCCATACTCATATAAAAATTAGGACCTTGGGGCACCTGGGTGGCTCAGTTGGTTAAGCGTCTGATTCTTGATTACAGCTCAGGTCATGATGTCTACTGGGCATGGAGCCTGCTTAAGATTCTCTCTCTTCCTTCCTCTGCCCTTACCCACCCCGCAAGGCACGTGTGTGCTCTTTCTCTCTAAAAAAAAAAAAAAAAAAAATAGGACTTTGACAATCATTCATGTATATCTTTGTGGTTCTTTCCCACCTCATCCCCCTCTCCATTTACCCATTCTGAACTCAGTGTTCATTATTCTCACTTTCTGTAAGTTTTTTTTCAAATACACTTTATTAGGGTATGGAAGTTCTCTTCTATTCCTAATTTACTAAAGCTTTTAATCATGTGTTCATGCTGAATTTTAGCACACGTTTTATCTGTTATCTATTGAGGTAATTATATATTTTTTCTTTTTAAAATTATTATAATAAGGAACATTTATAGTTTCTGGGGGTTTTTTTGTTTTTGTTTTACAAACAATCTGTCCTTACATACTGGGGTGTACCTAATTTGGTCAAGGTGTTTTATTTTTAATACACTGTTGGGTATTAAGGAGGGCACTTGTGGGCGCCTGGGTGGCTTAGTTGGTTAAGCAACTGCCTTTGGCTCAGGTCATGATCCTGGAGTCCCTGGATCGAGTCCCACATTGGGCTCCCTGCTTGGCAGGGAGTCGGCTTCTCCCTCTGACCCTCCCCCCTCTCATGTGCTCTCTCTCTCAAATAAATAAATAAAATCTTTTTTTTTTTTTAAAAAAAAAAGGAGGGCACTTGTTAGGATGAGCATGTGTGTTATATGTAAGTGATGAATCACTAAATTTGACTCCTAAAACCGATATTACATTATATGTTAACTAGAATTTAAATAAAATTTGAAAAAGAAAAAAAAATATGTTGTTGGATTTGATTCACTAATATGTTTTTCAGAATTTTGATTCCATATTCATGAGTGAAATGGCCTTATTTTTCTTTCTTATTTTGACTCCGTATGGCATTGGTGTCAGAGTTATGCCGGTCTTCTGAAATGACTGCAGAGTATTCCTTCTTTTCTACTTTTGAAAAGAGTTTAAATAAGTTTAAGATGATCTATTTCTTCAGTTTGGTAGAATATTCATATTAAAATTATCTGAGACTGATGTTTTCTTCATGGGAAAATTCTAACTACTCCTTCAGTTTCCTTACTACTTACAGAACTGTCTGCATTATTTTGGTAAATTACATTTTCTTTCTTATTTTAATTTCTTTTTTATTATTTTTATTTTTTTAGGGAGGGAGAGAAGAGGGGGGCTGGAGAGGGGCAGAGGCAGAGGAAGAGAGACAAATCTTAGGCAGGCTCCATGCCCAGTGCCGAGCCCAATGCGGGGCTCAATCTCAGGACCCTGAGATCATGACGTGAGCCAAAACCAAGAGTTGGACACTTAACCGACTAAGCCAACCAGGTGCCCTGGTAAAATACATTTTCTTTTTAAAGTTTATTGCACCTAACTTTTCATATTTTTGACATATGGTTGTTGACAGTATTATTTAAAATCTTTTTAGTGTTTGTGGTATCTATAATCATGCCTACTTTTTTCATTCATAATATTATTTATTTGTGCTTTCATTCTTTTTCTTATTGTTTTACTGGAGGCTTATTAATTTTCTTGGTATTGTTTTTCCAAAGAATGAAATTTTGACTTTGTTGGTTTTTTCTACTACATATATTTTTTCAGTTGCAGTCACTCCCATTCATATATATCTTTCTTCTTTTTGTTTTGTACTTCTCTTCCTAACTTAAAGTAGACATGTAGCTCATTAATTTTCAGGCACTCATCAGTTTTATAAAAGTATTGAAGGGTAAGCATTTCCTTCAAAACACGGATTGTGGTATAGTCCATTAGTTTTGATATGGACTGTTTATCAATATTAGTATCTAATTTGTTTTTAAAGATTTTATTTATTTATTAGAGAGAGAGAGAGAGAACACAGCAGGGGGAGTGAGAGAGAGAGAAGCAGGCTTCCCACCGAGCAGGGAGCCCGATGCGGGGCTCCATCCCAGGACCCTGGGATCATGACCTGAGCCGAAGGCAGACGCTTAACGACTGAGCCACCCAGGCACCCCTAGTATCTAATTTTTTAAAACATCTGTTATGGTTCTTGAACCTGTATTTAAGTTTTTAAATTTCCAAATATGCAGGAATTTTAACTCATTTTTAAGAATTTATTTATTTGACAGAGAGACACAGTGAGAGAGGGAACACAAGCAGGGGGAGTGGGAGAGGGAGAAGCAGGCCTCCTGCTGTGCAGGGAGCCTGATGTGGGGCTTGATCCCAGGACCCTGGGATCATGACGTAGCCGAAGGCAGACACTTAACGACTGAGCCACCCAGGCGCCCTAAGTTTTAACTCATTTTTGAATTAACTCCTAACTTCTTTACTTTGTGGTCAAGGATCCCTATTCTTTGAAACTTAGTGAGGCTTGTCTTGTGAACTAGTATATGAGTTTACATATAAAATAATCTAAGTCCACCTTCAAATAATACTCTCACTTTACATGCAGTGCAGGTCCCTTATAGCAGATTAGTCCCCATTCATCCCTACTGTCCCTGTGGCATTGCTGTCATTCACCTCATGGATCCATATGCTATAATAGCCCAATACATTCTTACTCTCATTGCTTTAACAGTTATATTTTGGATCAATTAAAAATAAGAAAAAACAGTTTATTTTACTTCATTTATTCTTTCTATGCCACTGTTCCTTTCTTTATAGAAATGCAAGTTTCTGACCTATGTCACTTTGCTCTGGCCTAGAAAACTTGTTTTACCATTTATTATAGGGAAGGTCTCCTGGCAATGAACTCTCTCAGTTTTTGTCTCAGGAAGTCTTTATTTCTCCTATATGATTATTTTAAGGTATAATTCACATACCATTAAAATCACTGTTTTAAAATAAACAGTTCAGTTGCTTTTAGTATACATATACACAAGATTGTTCAACCATCACCATTATCTAATTCTAAAACATTCTCATTATCCTGAAAAGAAACCACATACCCAATAGGAGTCACTCCCAATTACCTTCTTCCCCCTAGCCCCTGGCAACCACTAATCTTTCTTTTTCTCAATTTGCCTATTCTGGACATTTCATATAAATGAAATCGATGTATGGCCTTTTGTGTCTGCTTCTTTAACTTAGCATGTTTTCAAAGTTCATGTTGTAGCAGGTACCTCATTACTTTTTATGACTATATGATAATTCCATTGTGTGGAATTATCATATAGTCATAAAAAGGATATATCACATTTTGTTTACCTGCTCATCAGTTGATACAGTTGGTAGAAATTTGAGTTGTTTCTACTTTTTAACTATTATAAATCATGCTGCTATGCACATTTGTGTACAAATTTTTGTGTGGACATAAGTTTTTCAGTTCTCTTGACTCTATACCTAGGAATGGAATTCCTGGGTCACCAGTTAATGGTTTTTCTTTTTGAGGAACTGCTAGACTGTTTCAAAAGTGTCTACACTGTTTTACATTCCCACCGGGAATGTTCGAGGAATGTGATTTCTCCGTATTTTTGCCATCACTTATTACTGCCCATCTTTTTTATTATAGCCATCCTAGATCACCCAGTGAGATACCTGGGTGGTATCTCACTGTGATTTAGATTTGCATTTGTCTAATGATTAATGAGTTTTAGCATCTTTTTCATGTGCCTTCCAGTCATTTGTATATCTTTTTTTTTTCCTTAAGATTTTATTTATTTGAGAGAGAGAGCGAGCACGAGTCAGGGGAAGGGACAGAGGGAGAGGGAGAAACAGGCTCCCTGACGCAGGACTCGATCCCAGGACCCTGAGATCATGACCTGAGCCGAAGGCAGATGCTTAACAACTGAGCCACCCAGGTGCCCCAATTGGGTGGTCTTTTTATTGTTTATTATAGACATTACTTTTAATGTCTATTGTTGAGTTGTAAGAGTTCTATATATATTCTGAGGACAATACTGATGTCAGATATATGATTTGCAGATTTTCCTCCCATTCTGTGGGATGTCTTTTTACTTTGATAGTATCCTTTGAAACAGGTAAGTTTAAGATTGTGATCTTTTCAGTTTTGAATAATGATTTTATTGTGTGTAGAATTCTAGGTTGGTCGGGGTTTTTTTCAACACTTCAGATTTCACTGTACTCTGCATGAATGGTTTCTTTTAAGATTTTATTTATTAGAGAGAGAGAGAGAGAATGAGCAGGGAGAGAGGCAGAGAGGGAGGAGGAGGGAGAAGCAGACTCCCCACTGAGCAGGGAGTCTGATGTGGGGCTTGATTCCAGGACTCTGAGATCAAGACCTGAGCCAAAGGCAGAGGCTTAACTGACTGGGGCAGTCAGACATCCCACATGGATGGTTTCTCACTAGAATTCCTCTGTAAATTTTATCTTTGTTCCTCAGTAGCTAAGGTGTGTTTTCTCTCTGGCTTCTTTCAAACTTCTCTGTCTTTGGTTTTCTCTAATATTATATGCCTGAGGTGTTTTTGTTTGTATTTTGTTTTGTTGTTTTTTAAGGTCTTGCTTGGTGTTCTCTAAGCTTTCTGGATCTGTGGGTTGGTGTTTGTCATTACTTTAGGAAAGTTTCCAGCCATTATTATTTCAAATGTTTATTCTGCATTCTCTCTTTCTTCTCCATCTGGTATTCCAGTTACACCTATTACTCCTTTTGATATTGTCTCACAGTTTTTGGATGTTTTGTTCTATTTCTTTGTTTCTCTTCTTTGCATTTCAGTTTGGGAAGTTTTTATTGACATATCTTCAAGTTCCTGGATTCTTTTTTTATCTGTGTTGAGTCTACCAATGAGCTCATTGACAGCATTCTTCATTTCTGTTATAGTGTTTTGACTTCTAGCCTTTCCTTTTGATTCTTTGAGTTCTATCTCTGCTTTCATTACTCATTTGTTCTTGCATGTCATCTACCTTTTCCATTAGGGCCCTTAACATATTAATCATTGTTGTTTTAAATTTTCTGATAATTCCAACATTTATGTCATATCTGACTCTGGTTTTGATGGTTACTTCTCTCTTTAGACTGTGGTCTTGTTTTGTTTTTTTCTTGCGTTTGGAATGCCTTTTAGCTTTTTTTGTTGATAGCCTGACATCTGTTATCAAGCAGTAAGAACAGAGGTAAATAGGCTATAGTGTGGGATTTATATTGATCTGGCTAGATGTTGGGCTGTGCTTAATGTTTGTTGTAGCTGATATTGTCAGAGGATTCACATTCTTTTATTGTCCTTGTTTTTATCTGTCCTCTTGGCTTTGGGATGAGATGCCATTATATGGAGTCTGTCAGTTTGGAATATTGGTTTGAATTAAAGAGAGTCATTAAACATTAGGTTTACGTCCAATGTATCTGCTTAGTCTTATGGTTACATTATTTTGAGAATCCAGACTCACAAAAATATGAAGATACAGGTGATATAAGTCTTAAAAAATACTGTATGAGCTATGTCATAGTAATCATGGAAGAGAAATATCTAGAATAGTATAAAATAATTTCCACAGTACAGTATTTTCAGGCTATTCTTGGTATAATTTAGGTTGGAATATATTTTTGAAAAATTATTAAATTGCTTATGTCCTAAAGCAGATTAAAAGAGTGTACCAATGAGTTCTTTCTTCTGTTTATGAAAACCATGGATTGAACTCAGTTGCCTAACCTGTTTGTCTTTTAAGCATGTTAAAATGTATTGTTTGGTAACAGCATTTCCTTGATATTCTCATATTCATTCATATTACCGACCCCCCCACCTCTCTCTCTGAGAACTTTACCTTTCAAGACAATAAGATTGAAGGAATTCTCAAACATTTTTATTTGTTGGTTTATTATACTTTTCATTGGACTTCTTGATCAAACATTTTTCTTGTAACTGTGAAAATCCAATTGCTGTTTTTCAAAATTTAAATTGTTTCTTTTATATTTAGAATTTATTTACTGACTGGGAAAAATATCCACATAGTTCAAAATTCATGAATTATACAAAAGTATTAAATGTAAATCTTCTGTCCCTGTCTCTCAGCTATGCAGTTCCTTCTTTGGAGGAAACCAGTGTTTTTTAGTTTCAGATCTTTCCTTCCAGAGATATCTTACAAGCAAATATATTTGTATCTATAGATCTCTCTATACAAGCAAATATATTTGTATCTATATATTTCTCTATATGTAGAGATATGCACATGTGTATGTATATATTTAGAAATATATAAAAAAATACAAATACCTGTAAGTATCTTCTTAAACTTTTTTACACAAATGTTAATATATAATACACACTGTTCTGTATTTTTATTATTGTGCTTCTATTATTTAATATATCTTGGAGATCATCCCATAATTGTGTTACATCATTTTTTTTGCACGATGTGTCATCATATAAATGTACCACATCTACCCAGTTCCCTCTTGATGGATATTTGTATTGTCCCAACTTTTTTGCATCAAAAATAATGCTGCATTGAGTAATCTTGTTTCCATATAATTTGGTACATGTATGAACATATCTAGAAGAAGATTCCTAGACATGAATTGCTGGCCCACAATATACCTGCATTTATAGTTTTGATGGCTACTGACAAATTTTCTTATATAAGTGATGTACTAATTGCTGAATGTGTGAGAGTGCCTGTTTTCCCAGATCCTTACCAACATATTATGAATGATTGGTCTTGAAATGGTTTCATGTGGTGCTCTTCAGGGCAAGGCATTCAGGAGATGCCAGAGTTTAGAATTATTAGTTTTTAGACTGCTGCTGCTTCCTGGTGATTCAGTAGCCATAGTTATTGTAGGGCTGGTCTATATTAGAGCTGTTATGTATTTGGTGTCGGTTTTATTTTGTAGAAACTCAGGGGTTCTGTTAAAACCACAATAATTTCTTGTGGTTTCAAATTTTACTCCACTTGCCTATTTTTTATTAATTTCAAGTTTTGGCTTAGTACTTATTTTATCACTTCTCTCTGCTGTCTTTCTAGACTAATGTAAAACTAATGTAAAAATTATATGATGAAAAACATGATTCTAAAGTATGATCTTTAAATGACAGAGACCAGACTTTTTTATATTTTTAAGTTAAAAGTATTTCCCTATGGATGAAAATAGAACTAATGAACAAAACTTTATGTCATATATAATTTGGGGGACTTTTGGTGATCAAAGGTAAAATCAATAAAAATGTATGTTGAAATCAAAACACACACACACACACTCTTTCACAAGGAAACAAGTTCATTTTCAGAAAACGTGAGGTGCAGGCCTTCATGGTCAAAGGAAAGCTCTTTCTTCACTAGGAGACAGTTGCCATTTAATGCTCCTCAGTTCCATACCAATATTTCCGTCATTTGTGGCACAGGGAAATTTTCTATTGCCCAGGCACTTATTTTAAACAGCTTATTGGTTTTTGTGGAGGAATAGGAGTTGGGGGTTTTGCTTGCATACACGCAACAAAAGCTTTTAAAATCTCAAAAAAAATTTTGTATAAATCCTCCAAATCTTTGATTAAAATGGATAAACCTAGCTTATGTACCCAGTTTATTCAATGTTAGCTGATGTTTAGGGAGTATCATACCATCCCTTGGGGCATACAGGCACCCAGTTTTGGCCTTTCTCAAACTGTCCTAGCATAGCCATAGTGAAGATTATTTCTAATCGATATTCAATCCGTGGCCTAGATCGAGTAGTGGAAAAAAATACAAAGGTAATAAATGACGCTAGTTGGTGTTATTCCAGGCAATATTGGATAAGAAGAATAGAGTTCTTGAACCAAAGAAAGTTCTGCGCTTTCTTGAAAGAAAGGCTCTACCTCAACCTCGGCTTCCAACTCCAACCTTGGAAATGAGTTCCAATGTAAGTTTGAAACTTTATTTGAAATGCTAAATCCAGTATTGCTGTCTGTTTATTCTTATACTTTGGGCTAAAAACAAACCTAATTTAATAGGGTTACCTTTTCAAGATCTGACTTACATGGCATTTTTTCTTATGCTTCAAACATCAGACACACACAAATAAGCAAAATGAAATCTTCCTAAGAAAAATAGGCATCAGAAGGTAATCCTCATGCATGTCAAATAAAAAAAGACCGAATGATGATCAGTTACCATAACCATCTTGCCACATGGGGAGGTGGCTATGACAGCTGGAGTCAGAGAGGAGTGAAGTGCCAGAGATGTCATGAGGACAGGCTGGCTTCTGAGATAGACTGGCTCCAAGAGTTCACCCTGACCAGGGTCATACCTTACCTTCATAGATCTCCAAACTCAGTTTGGGCAAGGTACCAGAGTCAGTCAGGATTTAGGACAGATTTGGACTAGACAGCACCCCCCCCCCCCCCGCCTCCAAGAAACTGCTAGAGATGCCACAGTACAGATGTACTGCTTGACAGAAGGATAACTACCTGCCTGGTAGATGAGGATATTCTTCTTAGCAGCCCTTCTTCTCAGCCCACTATCTCCCAGTATAGGGCAGTTCTCACAAGACGCCAGATCCTATTGAGAATGTTGTGCTTTGTCAGAGGGAGGGATGTTGACAGGAGATCTCACTAGCGCTCCTGAAGGGTCCACCTGTGTGGAGACATTGCTCCAGTACTCCCACTGACTGACCAGTATGTGCTTCTGGACATCCCCCTTTCTAGACTTTGTGCCAGTCACTCCCTGTGGTTAACACATTGTCTTGCATGTGTTTATGCTATTGATTTCTGTTGCTTTCTTTCGCATTCAGAGCCACTTTAAGTTGATTTGCAGGCTCTGCTTTCTGCTTTTGACACATAGTTACTTAAGGTGATTTTTGTAGATGGTTAATCTTGTCCATTCTGATTTTACCAGCTTACCTAAATTCTGTGAGAAGCACCTTACTCTAGACTCTGACACAGGCTAGCTGTATTCCTTGTCTACTCGTGATTAAACATGAAAAAACTATTGCAAAATGGATGTTATAAGCAATACTTGTTGCTTCAAGAAAGATTTTACTGGAAAGGAGTATAGAAAAATGAAAATGGCTTAATTTGTAGGGATAGAATGAATTTTTTGCTTTTAGTATGATTTTTTAATGATGTCTTATGATAAAAAATTTTAGCAATACAATAAGTAACATTTAAAATACTGTATGTTCAATGAGAGTGTAGGCCTTATTTATTTCTCTTTAAATCTTTCTGGTATCTAGCACAGTCTCTTTTGCTTGATCTAAGTCTTCAAAAAACTATTTGAGGGGCGCCTGGGTGGCTCAGTTGGTTAAACGACTGCCTTCAGTTCAGGTCATGATCCCAGGGTCCTGGGATCGAGCCCTGCATCGGGCTCCCTGCTCCGCGGGAAGCCTGCTTCTCCCTCTCCCACTCCCCCCACTTGTGTTCCCTCTCTGTCTCTCTCTCTGTCAATTAAATAAATAAAATCTTAAAAAAAAAACTATTTGATGCTGACCGCTGCTCTTCTCAAGCTGCTTGGTTCTTACTTTGTTCTTTTAGGAAGAAGAAGATACAGAGATGGCTGTGATCTACCTTCAAAAGTTACTCCGGGGAAGAGTCGTTCAGAACACGGTGTGTAGGGTCCAACCACTGGTCCTGTGCTTCTCCTTTGAGAATAGATTTATAGGATGCATATGTACTTGGTTCCTTGGGGTGAATTCCCTCTTGCACCCTGCTGTCTGATGGAACTATATACTCTTTTTTTTTTTTTTTTTAAGATTTTATTTATCTGACAGACACACAGTGAGAGAGGGAACACAAGCAGGGGGAGTGGGAGAGGGAGAAGCAGGCTTCCCGCCAAGCAGGGAGCCTGATGCGGGGCTCGATCCCAGGACCCTGGGATCATGACCTGAGCCGAAGGCAGACGCTCAATGACTGAGCCACCCAGGTGCCCCTGGAACTATATACTCTTGAATTACCTACCCATTCCCTTCTACTGTCATAGTTTGTCCAAGTGGGTGCCCGTGTCAAGGAGAGAAAGGACCTGCCTGCTGTTTGTCACAGTTGTAACCAAGGCAAAGTGAAATTAGTACCTTCCTTAGAATCACTAAATCCACCACTTTTCTTACCTGAACTTGGACTTATTTTAAAAAAGTTCATTTATTTAAGTAATCTCTACACCCAACATGGGGCTTGAACTCATGACTGCCTGAGATCAAGAGTTGTGTGCTCTACCGACTGAGCCAGCCAGGTGCTTCTGAATTTTGACTATTAAGGCATCACAGACCAAGCGGATTCCCTAACTTTCCACAAAGTCATAATTATTTGAGTTTGTGTATAGCTAGCAATACCTGAATAATAGATAGCTAAGTAATACTAACTAGAGTTTTGAACCCATACCATAAGCTCACATTATATATTCTTTGCTTTACATATATCATCTCATTTTTTCCTATCAGTTACCCATTTTTTTTAAAGAATTTATTTATTTGAGAGAGAGAATGAGATAGCATGAGAGGGGAGAGGGTCAGAGGGAGAAGCAGACTCCCTGCTGAGCAGGGAGCCTGATGTGGGACTCGATCCCGGGACTCCAGGATCATGACCTGAGCCGAAGGCAGTCGCTTAACCAACTGAGCCACCCAGGCGCCCCTATCAGTTACCCATTTTATAGGCAAGCGATGTGAGTCTGAGATTATATTACCTGGTAGCAAATTCAACTCTGGTCTTCCTACACTTATCTTAGCCAAAAGGCCGAGAAGCGATCAACTCTGGTCTTCCTGACTGTAAAGCCTTCGCCACATTATTTGTGCAAGCACACTTCAATTTTAAAATGGACTGATTACAAAGCACCAGCAAAAAAAATTTTTTTTCTTCTTATACAGCTGGAACTCATAAGAGACTCAGTTATAATTAGTATGTCCAGGGAAGCTGGGTGAGCATCTTGTGTTCAGCATTATTCTCTACTCTTCTTGAGTATTTCCCCAGTAAAAATGTCACAACACATTACGTATTACAAACCAGGGGCAGATCTCTTGGTAGAGAAAGCATGGCTGTGAAAAATACCATCCTCGGGTGTCTTAGGGAAGGAGCACAGAAGATGAAGGGGAGGGTCTAGTTTCTTAATATGACCCTAGAGTAACTGCTTTGTTTTTGAGAGGCATTTTGAGAAACCGAGTAAACAGCTGCTAAGTAAACTCTTCCTCCACCTGAGCAGCGGGAGAACTCTCAGCTCTGGGGAGCACCCCTGCTCTGGCGCGAAGGCAGAACCGAACCCCCCGTTCGCGAGTGCCTCACCAGTCACTGCATGAGTCCTAGAGGCGCACACAGGGGATGCCAACTCGCAAGTCTCTTTCTGATTTGATTTGATACAGATGTTTGAAGGGAAGGAGAAGCGACTGGAGTTGATCCAGGAGCTGCGCACCAGCCACGCACTGCAAGAGGATGACAGGCTGCTGAAGAAAGCCGAGAAGCAAGTGACTCTGGCCTTACAGCGGCAGAGGAACTTGCACGAGCACAAGGTTCTTTCCTGTTCTTTCTCGTTGTGTTGTCTCCCCGGATTTTTATTCTTGCACAAGCGGCAGTATCACAACAGTAAATGAAATGACAAAAACACCCCCCAGGCCCATCACTCTGTCACAGCCGGCATTTTTAAACAGTGCTGCCTCAGTGCAGAATTGGAATGGGGTGTGCCCTCGCTGAACTGAATATGAACTCAACTGAGGGAGCTTGTGATCCTGAGACAAGGAGAGAATCCATAAATGTGAGGCACTCTTAGTGTGGCCCTTTCTTTCCACCTCCCCCATCATATAAGTAAAGCTGAACTTTGTGGTTAGGAAGTATGTGTGGGCTGGGAGGAGGCGAGGGAGGATATTGGGGCTAACGTCCACACTTGAATGACGGTCCCACACGGTAGCCTCACCACCTTTGAGACCTATGTGGGTTTCCTCCCTTCAATACAAACCAGAGAAGAACCCAGCATGGCAAGAACTGCCAGGGCTGAGGGAGCATATGACTGGGAGAAGGACCCTTTCCCTTAGACCTGAGGATAGGAAAAGGAACAAGATGAAGTTGCAAAGGATTCAATCTTCTTAAAACACTTTTATTCTCCATGTGTCAAAGCCAGGACAGATGGATCCATAAATAGATACTGTGGCTTATTCCTGCCAGAGAACTCCAGGCCCCAACTTTACCTCAGTGATTACATAGACCTGTAGGCTTTTTCCTGCTCTGTTTCAAAGATACTTCTTAATGACTTTGAAGTTATTTAAAAGAATATAGTACCACAGTTTTCTACTTTCATGCTATTCAAGATCTTAGAATTCCCCAAACTTGTGTGAAAGGACCAAGCATTAAAAAATTAAAAGGTGTCACGAGTGAATTTCTAGAAGACTCTTTTATTGAACTCCAGAAAAAATTTTTAATAAAAACCTTGACATTTCCCTTCATGTCTGGGAAGATAGAAGTACCTTCTGGATAAAAATGAAAGAAGAAAACCAATTTGTGTGGATATTAACAAATGTTTTGCTAAATCCCCCTCATAATTTGAGGGCTGTAATCTGTCAGTGACTGAGCGATCCACTTTCTCATGTCTAAGTTTGTATCGTAAGTTTTCTTAGTAAGAGCCCTTGGGATGACGCCAACCTAGTGATAATATTCCTAATAAACACTAAGTGCATTCTGAAAGTGAAGTGATTGTCACAAGTTCTGGGTAATCCAGCATCCCTCCTTATACATCCCCATGCTTAGCAGAATTTGTATCCTTGAAAATTTACTATTATTTTTAAGGTCTCACTGGTTGAAAACCATTTGGCTGGACTGGAAGGAAGGGCGCTGGCGGACATGTTTGACTTCCTGTCCAAAGAGCTGGTGAGACTGCAGGAAGAGAGGAGGATCCATGCTTTTGCCATGCTGGCCGAGCGGCAGCGGAGGATGCGAGAAGCTGAAGAGAGTGGTCGGCGCCAAGTCGAGCAAAGGCGGCTGCGGGAGGAGGACCAGATATTTAAAGAGGCAAGTGGGGGCGCAGCTGGATGTCTGGGAGCTACTTGTAAGGAGCCACATCAAAGCAGAGGGAACTCATGATATGAAATGGCACTTGTTTTTGTTTTTCATTGTGTTCTACAAATATGTACTGAGTTCCTACGATATGCTAGGCACTGTGGGATACTTCGGAGGGGAGAAACCGGACATGGTCCCTTTTCTCCTGGAGCTTAATTACTATTTAACATGCAAATATGTGTAGAATTAGAAAATATAGTAAGTTTCCTGAAGCAAACAGGTGGGCCCCAGTGACACATTTTAAACAGGTTACTCTGCTTGCTGTGTGGAGAACAGGCTGGAAGGAGGACAGAGTGGAAACAAGGAGATCAGGAAAGAGGCTGTGGAAGTGGTTAAGGTCAATGAGAAACAGGAAGAAGTCAAGGAAGATGTCCAGTTTCTGGCTTAAGCAACTGGGGAGATGATAGTACTGTTTTTTGATGTGGGAAAGCAGAGCATGGAATTAATTTAGGGGCAGGGCTGGAATCAGGAATTTGATTTTTATTAGGTTCGAGACATTCTAGTGGAGGTGTCATTTCAGCAGGTGGATCGACAAGATGGAATTTAGAAGAGAGGTTTTGGCTAAAGATATAAACTAGAGCACCAGGTTAGTAAGTTGGAATTCTGACCAAGACATAAGGGGTATGAAATTCCAAAGTGAGCAAGATGTAAGTTCAGAGGAAGTTCAAGGAGCTAGTAATATCTCAAAGCACTCCCCCTCATCAAGAATATAAAAGCGCAAGTGTTAAAATTGGCGGGGATTTATGAAGAAGATTCCTTTAAAGGGAACTGTGCTATGACTACCCATCCTACTCCCCAACACACACACCAACACACACACACCAACACACACACACCAACACACACACAACCAACACACACACAAACCAACACACACACCAACACACACAACCAACACACACACACCCACACACACACACCAACCAACACACACACCAACACACACACACAACCAACACACACACAAACCAACACACACACCAACACACACACACAACCAACACACACCAACACACACACCCCAACACACACACACCCCAACACACACCAACACACAACACACACACACCAACACACACCACACACACACCAACACACAACACACACCAACACGCACACCAACACACCAACACGCACACCAACACACCAACACGCACACCAACACACACACCAACGCGCACACCAACACACACCAACACAACACACCGACACACACACACACCAACACACACACAACACACACACACCAACACACACACACACCAAAACACACCCAGAGGTTGGTTTCTTTTCCTGTAGTCATTGGCGAGCTTGATATGTATTCTTTCAGTTAGGGTGTCTAACCCCCTAAGAATGGGGAGGAGGGGAGCTGGGCCAGCTGGCTGCTTTGGAGGTGGGCACAGATGAGGCCGTATGGGTGGCTAGCACACCCAGAATATGTCAAGGCAAAGGCTGTGTGGGGGTCTCCCCTGGACCAGATGTGGGCCACACGGGAAAGAGAGATAGAACCAACCTGGACCTTAAAAAATTTCCTGTCCAAGAGGGCTGTCTGAATTGTTATGTGTGGATACTCAGTTTAAAAAAAAAAAAGCGTCCATTTGAGATCTTCTTACTTGATCTGCGATTTTCAGGATTTACCCAATTCTTATGGAATTAGGATTGATTCATGAATATTATTTGTTGTGTGTGTGTTTCAAGTTTTTTTTTAAACCAAACAGATTGCTCTCCCTCTACATAGATTAAGAATTTTTGAGTTACATATGGTCAGTGGCAGATCATCTACAATGTGTAACAGTCTATAATTCATATTCTAGCTATTTATGATTGCATACTTAGGAAAACTGTAAAGAAAAGGGAATGTTTACCATAAAATCATGACAGTAGAAAGGATCTGTGGTCAGGAAAAACCCATAGCAGCCTTCTAGAATTCTAGCAGTGGCTGCATGGGTACTGGCTTTCCCCTAATTCAGTGCATAGTACATTTCTCACTGTGCACTTTTGAAAATGTGTGTTCTAGTTCACAGTTTCAGAAAGCTTAAAAAAGCAGGAGTCCAGGGTATGATAGTTCCAAAATTCATCAGAGACTCAGGATCCTTCTAGCTTTCCACTTTTCTGTTCTTAAGGCATGGCCCTCATGGCAGTTTAAGATGACTTCTGATGCTCCAGCATTATGTCCCCATGAAATGAGAAGTGAAAAGAGAAAAAAAGAATAAGCTAGGTTTCTCCCTTTAAGAATGCTTTCTAGGTGCATGTGAGTGGCTCAGTTGGTTAAGTGTCCAACTTTTGATTTCAGCTCAGGTCATGATCTCAGGGTTGTGAGATTGAGCCCCGCCTCGGGCTACACGCTGGGTGGAGCCTGTTTAAGATTATCTCTCTCCCCGACCTGGTTGTGCTCTCTCTCTTAAAAAAAAAAAAAAAATCCTTTCTAGAAAGTGAACAGATGACTTCTGCCTGTACTCCCTCAACCAGAACTATGGTTACTAGGAAATGTAATCCTTATTCTAGACATGTGTTGGCGCAGCTAAAACTCAGGGGCTCTGTTACAAAGAGGAAGGAGAGAAAGGACATTGGGAAATACCTCTTAGTTTCTGCCACAGTTGGGTAGTTTGACCAAGTCACATTGCTGGAAAGAACAAAGCCAGGATCCAAAATAGGGTTATTGCCTGAAGCCCCTGATCTTTCTGCAGTGTTGTATTGCCCACCCTAAGTAAGACTCATAATTCTAAAATGGGTAGATGGATGGGGGCTGCCCAGAATGGGTAGGTAGGTGGGCTAGAAACTGACCAGACAGGGAAAAAAAAAAAAAGAAAGGAATGATCAATGAGGGGACTATTGACTTAATGAAAGAAACAGGTCAACCAATGTTAGTTCATTTTTTTGGTCTTGTTTACAGTAGTATTCCTGTTCTCAGTAACAGGGGTATTTTTATTTTTTGCAGGTGATTAAAGTTCACCAAAGTACTGTAACTTCCTATCTGGAAGACATAATACTGAATACCGAAGAGAGCACGGCAGAAGAACAAGCCAGGGCAGAAATTGAGAAGATGGCTGAGGAAATCAATGACATTGCTTATGAAATGGAGAGCCGGTTGGTACAAGAGAACAGACAGCAGAATGGACAGCCCATTTGCTGTTACTCATATGTATTTTCCAAGAGCTTAAGATTTTACCACCAAGGAGAAACAAGTATATATCTCCTGCTTCAGTGTCCATTGTTTTAATTGCATAACTCTTTAGAAGTCAACATGCCTAAACCTTTGTGAGGCAGGAGCGCTGGGAGTAGAATTTTCAGTTATTCTCTGCAGTCTGGATCACTAACATATTACATTTAGAATACCACAAAGCATGAAAGCAATGTGAGTAATTACGTGCAATATTACTCCACCCCAAAGGTTTTGGCTTCTTGTATAAATTATACCTCTAACATTCCCTTCCTGGCAGGCAGGTTAACTGAAGAACAGGGTCAAATCTGAATCTGCATGAAGTTAACCAAGCCCACCAGGAGTATAATATTTCAGACAACTTAATCAAGGAAAAGGCAGTGGTGGGATTTGAGCAATGGAATCCCTTACACAAGCAAGGAGAACCTAAGTAGAAATCAGCAGCTCAAGGCAACAAAGGAAATAGTTTAATTGTTTTTTTTTTATTTTTCAGTCGAACTCAGCTTCAGTCAGAGGAGATTGTTGCTGAGTTGGTTTATAGTTTCCTGATCCCAGAGGTACAAAAGGACTTTGTCAAAGAAAAAGGTAAGCCAATGTAATGCTTTACTTTGAAAGATATAAACTATTTTCAATATCCCTGAGATTTAAAATGAGCAGAAGTATGAAGAAATTTCTGAAGCAGAATCACCAAGTTTTCTTATTTCAGAGCTTGTCAAGTTCTCTTCATGCTGATTCCAGAATATAATCACCTCTAGTATAGATGGGGTGCAGTTCTAGAAAGTGTGACAGAGTATCGAAAGCCAAACCTTCAAGAGGAAGTTCCCAAAAGAGGTGTATTTTGTGATTTTTTTTTTTAAGACATAAAGCAAATATTGACAATATGCAGAATTTTCAAACTGTACTAGCCTTTTGGAGGTGGGACACCTACAAAGTGGGTATTGGAAAGCTGAGATGCTTGAAGGGCTTAAATCTATTCTGCTGCTCTGCCTGTGCCACAGATAACTTCTGTTTCTGCCAGGACTGTATCTAAGTATAAATATCTTCACTTACTTGTCAAAAGTGGCATGTTTTGAAGACTAATGCTTTTATTTTATTTTTATTTTTTTAACAATTTTTTTTTAAGATTTTATTTATTTATTTGACAGAGAGAGACACAGCGAGACAGGGAACACAAGCAGGGGGAGAGGGAGAGGGAGAAGCAGGTTTCCAATGGAGCAGGGAGCCTGATGGCCGGGCTCAATCCCAGGACCCTGGGATCATGACCTGAGCTGAAGGCAGACGCTTAATGACTGAGCCACCAAGGCGCCCGAAGACTAATGCTTTTAGTCAATAGAGAAAGTAAAAAAATTGTCTTAAAAAATGTTCTTGGGGCACCTGGGTGACTCAGTCGGTTAAGCATCTGACTCTTGATTTCGGCTCAGGTCAAGATCTCAGGGTCTTGAGATCAAGGCCCACGTCTGGCTCCACACTCAGCATGGAGTCTGCTCGAGATTCTCCCTCTCCCTCTGCCCAACCTCCTTCCTCAAAAAAAAAAAACACCCCCGCCCTCCAAAAAAGAATACTTTTCTGGAGCTTTCAGGCTATTGGTGACAGACAGGTAACCAGAGAGAGAGAGGGGTGCAACCAGAAGATCAATATTTAAGTGAAATAACTTCCATGGGAAGATCCTAAGCTCACCTTGTCCCACAGTTACTCCTAGATAACACCCACATCAGTGTAAATAACCCAGAAAGCAACCTGAAAACTGGAAGAACACACTCTGAACACCTAAATGTAGGGAAGAGACCACATCAAAAATGGTAGGAAGGGCGGAGACAGGTCAGGAACCAAACTGACCCATGACACTGTCCATGGGAGGGACACCGCAAGCAAGAGAAAGGAGAGCAGCAGACCCTACACCAGACACCCGAGACACAGGGGACCTGTATTGGGAAGATGAATCCCCCTTAATATTTGGCTCTGAAAACCAGAGGGGCTTAACCTCACAAGTTTTACAATCAGCAGGGCTCAACACCTGGAACTTTATAAATCCACGGCTTGGCTCTAGGAGAGCCAGAGGGCAATAGGAATCATCCCCACCCTTAAAGAGACAGCATAACAAACAGCCCCACTGGGATACATCATGGAAGCAGCAGTATGAGTGTATGAGAAGGTTTACTAATCTCAGAACATGTGCTAGGAGATTTCTTCAAAAACAAAAGTGCTGTCAGGGCCATTTACCTCCCTCAACCCCAGCCTAGATAAACAGATACCTACAAGGACCAGCAAAGTACACACACTCTCTCCACTTAGCTTACTAACAACGTGCCCCATCCCCATGTTCCCCTTTGGATCTGCCTTCTCCCAACCACTCCACTTAGCAGGAGTTCATCGAAAGCAATGTCACAAACCTGGCATTATGCAGGCAGCCCCAGTGGACCAGCACCACTCCAAAGTGACTTCTGCCCCAAGGAGAGGGAAAAATAATCACACACACATCAGTTCAACCGTGAACCCAGCAGTGGGCAGATATCTGGTCTGACTGCAGGCCTCACCCACCAATGAAAACCTACCAGGGGTCAACACAGGGAGAATGCCCTGTAGTTCATTGTGACCACAGCTCTGGCAAACATCTGGGCTGACCAAAATCAAGCCCATGGTGACCCCAGACTGGCCCACTAACAACACAGGGACCAAACCCTGCCCACAACAGGCAGACAGCCTTTGCAGACAACTAAACTGAAGGCAGATATGACTCAGCCACAACAATAGGGCACACACAACACACATAGGAGATACCCCTGAATGCCAGGGTCTGGTGAACAGGGGACATTCTACTGCAGGGCACTATAGGACCACCTCTTCATACGTCCATGACTTTCAAGAGCCAGAGATGTAGCTGACTTTCACAGCACATAGATAACAGACACACAGAGTTGGACAAAATGAGGAGACAGAAGAATGTGTCCCAAATGAAAGGACAGGACAAAAATCACAAGGAAGCTAAATGAAACAGAGATAAGCAATATGCCTGATAGAGAATTAAAGTAATGGTCATAAACATACTTACGGGAATGGAGAAAAGAGTGAAGGACTCAGACACTCAACAAAGAGATAGAAAACATAAAAAAGAACCAATCAGAGATGAAGAACTCAATAACTGAAGTTAAAAATACACTAGAGGGAAAAAAATAGTACACAAGAAGAAGCAGAACACATCAGTAACTTGGAGGACAGAGTAATGGAAAGCAATCAAGCTGAACAGGAGAGAAAAAATAATAATAAAAAATGAAAATAGGTTAAGGAAACTCAACCACACCATCAAGTGTAATAACATTTGCATTATAAGGACTCAAGAAGGAGAAGATGGGTGGGGGGGGCGGGAGAAAATTTTATTTGAAGGAATAATAGCTGAAATCTTCCCATATGTGGAGAAGGAAACAGAAATCCAGATTCAGGAGGCACAAAGCACCCCCATCAAAATCAAAACCCAAGGAGGTGCACACCAAGGCACATGGTAATTAAAATGGCAAAAAGTAGTGCTAAAGTAATTTTAAAGCAGCAAGAGAAAAAAAGTAGTTACATACAAGAAATACCCTGTAAGACAACTAGCTGATTTTTCAGCAGAAACATTTCAGGCCAGAAGAGAGTGGCATGATATATTCAAAGTGCTGAAATAGAAAAACCTGCAACCAAGAATACTCCATCCAACAAAACTATCATTCAGAATAGAAGGAGAGAGGGTAGAGAAAGAGTTTGCCAGACAGACAAAAGTTGGAGGAATTCATGACCACTAAATCAGCCTTACATGAAATGTTAAGGGGACTCTGTGAGTGGAAAGGAAAGGCCATAAGCAGGAGTAAGAAAAGTAGGACGCACAAAACCTGTAAAATTAAGTATGTCTATAAAACAAGTATGTCTATATTCACAAAATAAAAGGATATCAAGTATGTATGACACCATATACCTAAAATGTGACAGGGAGAGGAATAAAAATTTAGTGCTTTTAGAATGGGTTCAAACTTAAGCGACCAACAACTTAATATAGACTGCTATTTGTATAAGATGTTACATATCAACCTAATAGTAACCACAAAACAAAAACCAGTAATATATATACAAAAAATAGAGAGGGGAATCTAGGTATATCACTAAAGAAAGCCAGCAAACCAGGAGAGAAAAAAGAGAAGAAAGGAACAGAGAAGAACTACAAAAACAACCATAAAACATGTACTTACTGATACTTGTTACTTACCTATCAATAATTACTTTGAATGTAAATGGACTAAATGTTCCAATCAAAAGACGTAGGGTCATAGAATTGATAAAAAACCAAGACCCATCTATATGCTGCCTATAAAAGACTCATTTCAGACCTAAAGACACATGCAGATTGAAAGTGAAGAGATGCAAAAGCATTTATCAAGCAAAGGGAAGTGAAAAGCAAACCGGGTTAGCTACACTTAGTTCAGACAAAGTAGACTTGAAAACAAAGACTGTAACAAGAAACAAAGACACTACATAATCATAAAGGGAACAATAATCCAACAAAAAGATACAATTATAAATATTTATGCATCCAACATGGGAGCACTCAACCACATAAAGCCGCTATTAACATACATAAAGAGAGTAATTGATAGTAAAACAATAATAGTAGGGGACATTAACACCCCACATAATCAATGGACAAATCATCCAAAGAATAAAATCAAGAAAACAGTGTTTGAATGACACAGTGGACCAGATGGATCTAAGAGATACTCAGAACTTTCCATCCTAAAACAGTGAAATAGGCATTCTTTTCAAGTTCACATGGAACATTCTCCAGAATCGATAACGTTAGGCCACAAAATAATTCTCAACAAATTTTGAAAGTCTGAAGTCATCTTATGCATCTACTCCACCTACAATGCTATGAAACTAGAAACCAACTACAGGAAAAAATCTGGAAAGAAGACACATACATAGAGGTTAGATAACATGCTACTAAACAATGAATGCGTCAACCAAGAAATCAAAAAATACATGGAGAGAAATGAAATGAAAACACAGTGATCCAAAATCTTTGGGATGTAGCAAAATCTGTTCTAAGGAAGATTATAGCAGTACAAGCCAATTTCAAGAAGCAAGAAAAATCCCAATCTAACTTTACACCTAAAGAAGCTAGAAAAATAACAAGCAAAACCCAAAACCAGAAGGAAGGAAGTAATAAAGAGAAGAAATAAAAGAAATTAAAAAACAAGAGAAGAACTCAAGGAAACCAGGAGCTGGTTCTATGAAAAGATCAACAAAATTGATACACCTTTAGCCATACTCATCAAAAAAAAAAAAAGGAGAGAGACAGAGAGAAGACTCAAACAAAATTAGAAAAGAAAGAGAAATAACAGAAACCGAAACAGAAATAACAGAAACAGAAATAATACCACAGAAATAGCAAGGGTTATGAGATTATTATGAAAAAGTATATGCTAACAAGTTGGACACCCTAGAAGAAGTGGATAAATTCCAAGAAATATATAACCTCTCCACACTAGATCAGGAAGAAATAAAAAATTTGAAGACTGATCACCAGCATGGGAGATGAATCTGTAATCAAAAAACTT